ATCAGGGAGCCGGATGCGGGACTCGATCCCGGGACTCCAGGATCATGACCTGAGCCGAAGGCAGTCGCTCAACCGACTGAGCCACCCAGGCGCCCCGAGACAAGCTTTCTTATGCTTCTGTTTACGAGCTCTCTTGAAGCCCCATAACCTTAGCGACCTCAACTCTGCAGCCTTCTGGGTAGAAACAGACCATTGAAGAGGAAGAAAGTGGGGTACCGGGGCCGTGAAGGGCACCTCCCTCTCCTTAAGGGCCCAAGGAGACGCATGTATTAATCCACCCCGAGGCCACAGGGCTCTCACCATGGCCCCCTCCCTCCCCCGCCCCCAGAGGCCCGTGGCCCTCACTCCCCTCTTGAGCACAGGCTGCTGCCGCCAGACACGGCATGCCTCCCAGCTACCACATCAGGCTTTGCTCGGGGTCCCCAGGTGACCACCCCTGGCTCTGGAAGTCTCTTGAAATGAGCAACTTGAGGCAGGCCACCAGAACCATTCAGTATAGGTCTGACTACCCAGAACCTTCACTGTGCTTCTCTCTTCCATTCAGAATACCTCCCCTCGGGTGGTACCGAGGAGCAGCCCAGAGCAAAGACGTTCCTCTTCGTGGAATAGGAAAGTCATTGTTCTCGTCTAAACATTCCTCCATTTAGGTCTGCCAGGCTAGAGTCCTCAGAGGTGGTCAGGGTCAGGAAGCAAAGTGGAAAGATGGATCAGGAGTCGGGAGATTTGGCTTGTTGCCTGGTCTCGACCACTTACCAGTCGTGAGCCCTTGGGCAAGTCACAGAACATTTTGGGCTTCGTTTCCTCTTCTGTCAAATGGGCTAATACCACATGTTCCACTTTGCTCAGACGAGGCAGGGAGGGTAAATGGGCTTGATGAGTAGCCAGGGGGAGTGTTATCAGTCTCACAAGGAAGGCTGGGGAAGGTTTGGTTTTAGAACTGAGGAGTTGTGAGCGCCTGGGTGGCTCAGTTGGTTAAGCGACTGCCTTCAGCTCAGGTCATGATCCCAGGGTCC